AAACTGTGACCCGGTTTTACGCAAATTCGCCTCTTCGTTAAAACGCAAAACGGCGCTAGAGGAAAATGTGCCTATTCGTTAATTAGGTTAATTGGGATTTTAATTAATGTTATGATATTGTAACCTCACCAGGTTGTAGATATTGATATATTAAATCATTTTCACTGAAAACAGATATCGATAAACAGGCGATTTTTCACGAAATTCGCCCCTTCGTGAAAACGGTGATGTAGTTAAGAGATAAACAAGCATTTTTCATGTCTACATCAACACGATAATGATTAATTTAACAGGTGCTTACACACATATTTTCATGAATATCTGCACTGCGTGCTGAATAACTGTTGCCCCATCACATCATCAACCATTAACATTGCTAATGAGAACTAGTAACACAGTCTAAGTATAGTGCATTCCGTGTCTTAATGCGGACACAGTGGTTTATTACGTAATCGAATGATTTCGACGTCTAAGCCCATTAATTATGTTACAAAAACATAACAGTGACGTTCATGTTTTGCATATCTTTTTATTATTTCAATCTACAGACTCTGACAAAAAAATAAAGATCGATATTACGCCAGAAGGTATTGATCATATTGGGTATAGTTTCCGATAATCACTACAACATACCCAATTATTTGATCAGCATCGAAGAATACGTTATCAATGTTCTGGTCTTTCAAGTTCAAACCTCGTGTATCTGTGTGTGTTGAGGTACGTATTCCAAGCACAGTTAAAGATGGATCACATGAACACTTAAATGTACCCTGAAAAATCGTGCTATGTAGTTCCATTTCAAATAAAATTATTCGTCGGACTAATTACTAAGTCGGACACAATATTGGCACTCAAACATAAGGGGTATAGGACTATCGGTCGTCGGACACAATGGGTAAAACAATGGGCCGTCGGACACAATGGGTCGGACTTAATCGTCCCAGTCTTGGTCAAAATCATAACTAAACTAACGGACATAATGGTTACAAATACAGTGGAGACCTTCAGATACTGTCAGTGTACAACCTTTTTGGTGGGAGGGGGGAGTTAAATACCCCCACTGGTTAAAAACCAGTGGCGGACTCCCCCTCCTCCCCCTCCCACACACACACACACCGTCCGCGTTCAGCCGCTGACTTATGTTATGATACTGCCAAAAAATACCAATTGGAATTTTCAATTGCATTCGAATGCAGGAGAAAGCCTCGTAAATTTGTAGTTTTCCGGGGTATGCCTCTGGAGACCGGACCCCATAGCAGCAGGGGAAACTGTCGCCACGCCTTCACTCACACCCCCTCTCCCTTCAAATCCCACCCCCACCCCCGTTCCCTGAAAGCTAGATCCGTCCCATTTAAACTCTTTTCCTTATTAAGCAGGGCAAACGATTTAGCGCGAAGACCGTTTACTGTGAGGAATCTGATCAAGCAGAAAGAGATTTCAGGCAGCCAAAATATCCAACAAAATTATGAAACATTTGTGACTTCTTAAAGCCAAAAAATCAGGCAACACAATTTGAATAATTAACAATTCCCCAATTTTATGGCTCTCAGAAGTTTTTTTATTTTTCGCCAAACCACTTTTACGGCAAGTTGAAGGATCCGTTACTCATATTCCATCAAATTGTCCGAGGTCAAAATTAGGCCTAAAATAGTTGCCGCTTTTGTGCACCTGCTAGCTGGTGTGCCCCCAACGACAGTGAATTGAGATTCGGCCACTTTGAAGCTCAAAATTCCCCCTCGGGTCCCCCCCCCCCCCCTTCTTCAACTCGCAATTCTTGTAATTGGCTGATGGCCTTCGGCTCCCTTACTCGTACGATTTGGGAGCAATTGTTGCGGAACAGCCCATGTTGATACCTTTAAAATACTTTTGCCCCCACCCCATAAGTTCCGCCCGCTGAAAAAAAAACACTGCCGCGGCATAGCGCATGCGCAAAGAGGCCATGTTTATCATTCTTATAGGGTGTAACAGTGTATTAAGATTCCCATAGACAATAGTGCTATACTATAAATTCTTTCAAAAAATACTCAGAACTCTCACAGGTGTTTAAGCTGCACAGAAAAATGACGATCAATATGTCATCGTTTATTTTATTTTCAATTTTTGGTAGGTTGACCATTGACTTTTCGAAAATTCTCACCCAAAGAAGACGACCCCTATTTTTCCCAAAGCGGAAAAGTAGCCATCTTGGAAAACGATCCCTCCACAACATGAGAAAATAGCGCCACTTTCGAGCTCATTTGCATCCAAAATACTCAGAATTGGAAAGCCCGAGTCTGGGCCATGAGGTTCATTGCCATATTCTTCAAATCCCCAATTTTATGGCTCTAAGAACTCTCTAGTATAGAATATTTTGAGGGTATAACTTTTATTGATGAGCTTGGCGGATGGGTTTTAGGCCTATTTACAGGTGTGCAGCCTTAGGCCAAAAAAAGTCTCCGGTTTCTGATATGGAGCTTCCCCAAAAAGTGGTGCGGCAACGCGGCTTTTTTTTTTTTACCTGTCTTTTTCACTTCAAATGTCGGCTGATGACTGCAAATGGTGCCCGACTAAACTTAGTGCAAGTACATGGGAGTGCGGAGAGGCCACATAAAGCTTATTCTCGATCATAACCCCATCTAAAAACACGTTACAATAATATTGTGTAGCAGCAGGATTCCAGTCAAACCAGTGAGTTTGGCGGTTTTGAGACATCATCTTTTATTGAAAAAAAAAAACGTTTTCATTTTGCCGACGAGCATGGTTACGGCGACGCGCGCGCATACCAGAAACCGGAAAAAAAATTTTGGCCTTAGACTTTAGAGCTCTCTTTGCCAACCCATGTTTGGCACTTTTCTGCCACCACGGAGGCAAGATGGCGTCCGACTGAAACAGATTTCACGGCTCCCCACCAGCCTCTCTCTCTCTTTTCAACCGATGAGGGGGTACCTCTGCACGAAGCGGATTAAGAGACTTCAGGTTGTTCTGTCTTGGAAAGCAAGAATGCACAGACTCAAGAAAATACTTGCCTGAAAAAGCAGTTGGGGAGCAGTGACTGACGCCGCGCGTCCGTAATAGGTCACCGAAAAAGCCTCACGGGCCGCACGCGGTACACGACTGTAAGCTTACGCTACACATCACACGCATTAAACCGATATTGCATTTATTGATTAGAAATATTTATTAATAAGTTACACTGAAGATAAGATACATTTATTGATAAGATACATTAAGGTAGAAAACGTTAAGAAAATTAGGTGATTAGTTTGGCAGAATTAATCAATTAAAGCCCGGTTTATACTTCACGCGAAAGCGAAAGCAAAGCGAAATTCGTGACGTCAACAGTACATTCGAAGCGCGTCCACCATTGGTGACGACATGAATTTCGCTTTGCACAAGCTTTTGCGTGAAGTATGAACCGTGCTTAAGAAAAGTGGCTGTTCCTGAAAACGAAAAAAAAACGACCAATTAGCAAATTCGCCCCTACGTGAAAATGCTAAAGTGACTACGCGCAGATTTCGCCCTTCTGCGGTCTGAGTCAATGCAGTTTTTGTACAGTACGCGCAGATTCTGCCCCACTGCGCGTGCGCCTGAAATTTGCCCCTTCGATGATAAAGCGTCATTGTATTATAATGTATATATTTACTGAAAATGTATTAATACCATAGAGTGCAGAAATTCGCCCCTTCGTGAAAACGCAAAACGGCACTTGTGGCAAATTCGCCCACTCGTTAATTAGGTTAATTGGGGGTCTAATTAATTTTTTGAAAGTATAGCCTCACCAGGTTGTAGATATTGATATATTTATTCATTTTCACACACACACACCCACACAAATTCGAAAAAAAGACGGTTTTTATGAAATTCGCCCCTACCTGAAAACGGTGACGATTTATTAATAAGATACATTAATTAATATTGTACATTTATTGATAAGGCCAAAAAAAAGTCTCCGGTTTCTGGTATGGAGCTTGCCTAAAAAGTGGTGCGGCGACGCGGTTTTTTTTTTACCTGATTTTGTTGCTTCAAATGTCGGCCGATGACTGCAAATGGTGCCCGACTAAACTTAGTGCAAATATATGGGAGTCCAGAGAGGCCACATAAAGCTAATTCTCGACCATAACCCAATCTAAAAACACGTTCAAATTGTGCAGCAGCAGGATTCCAGTCAAACCAGTGAGTTTGGCGGTTTTGAGACATCATCTTTCATTGAAAAAAAAAACTTTTTCATTTTCCCGACGCGCATGTCTACGGCGACGCGCGCGCATACCAGAAACCGGTGACTTTTTTTGGGGGGGGGGGGGGGCCTAACATACGGTTATTAAAAAAAATGTGTATTTCATCGAGTGTTTCCAACGTGTGCTTCTTTAGAAAGGGTTTATGAGTATACTTCATTTTTGCAGTACATTTTTGTGTTCCAATGCACACAAAATACCACTTTTAGTCCCCATCCATGGTAAGTACACTTGTGATTATTTTTTAAAGAAAGGTCATGAAAATATAATTTAAAGCGTCGTACGCAACTTATAAGAAAAAGTCCCCAATCATATTCACCCGAAAGCTTTGGCATAACCTTTCCGGGTAAAAAAAATGACACGTTTTGCTAAGGTTTCTAGGCCAAAATGACCCGGAAAGGTATCATTTTCGATCCAGAAAAGTCTCGTTTTTGACCTGGAAAAGGTAGCCCAAACAGAACCCGGATTGCGGTTCAAACTGAACAGGAACTTATAACCCCAGTAAAAGTATATCACATATTACATGGCCAGGAATTTTAATTAAATCAAACTTGATAAAAACTTTTGGATTAAAATATCATTCAAGCCTAGGCTCCTTTCGGTATATAAGCAGAACATTACAAGGCTAACAGTACAAAAACTGTCAAGATTAGACAAGGACAAACACAAGAACAAAGAAAAACAGTGCTAATTTTTCCAAATTGTATACACACTATTAAGGAATGCAGCAGATAACTAAATTTGTACAAAGAATTAGCAACCATGAGGTTCTATGTCACAATCACAGTTTCACCTGGGAAAGACGAAGGAGTCATTACACGAGTTAGTGCAGGAAAACCGCCAGGCTGGCGAATACGAGAATGGATGGTACTGCAGCCGTGACGACAGCTATGAAGACAAAGAAATACAAAAAAATGTTTTGTTAGACGAGTCATAATAATGGCCCGCAATTTATATCATTCAGCATATAGAATCTGCACCGAAATGCCGACATGTACTTTCACAGAAATGAAACATCTGTCCAGCAGAATACTACATGAACTTCGATATAGACTGAGTAAGGAAGACAATTACACATCCTATACAATCCAAGTCTCAAAGTACCTATTGTGGCGAAACAGCCGGTGGACTGGTGCGAGTTTACCATGGCTCGCCTGGTTCCCCGACGTCGTGCGTAGGGTATAGCGCCTAGTTAGAGATTTTAGGCAGTCCATCTAAAGACGCCGTTGTGTGAACATCGATTAGTGGAAACTTAGCGTTGAGCTCCGAATCCGAGTAAACCTCGTGTGTAGACGTAGCGATAGTTTGGGCAACGCGGCGTGCAAGTCAAGGGCGGATGGTGAGACTTTAGAGTAATAATTAGCAAGCTAGACCTTTTGTTGTAAGGGGAAATTAGCCTGGGTGGCTGTGGGTTGAGCTGGTGACTGGAGACCTAAGGTTCGTGTGGTATGTGCAGCAGTATTCCCTGGTCGGGAATTGGGTTGCCTGTTGCCTGTCGACCTTTGTCGCCAGGAGTCACCTCGGGGTTATAAACCGCGCTCCGTAACCTGAGCCAGTGATTTCTGTATGCTAGGTTGCATGTGAGGTTTACTCTGGTAAAGTCTTAATCAGTGTGTGCAGTTCATAACTTGTTGCTGTTGATCGCACTTGGTGTGCACAGTGAGGTTCTTGCCACTGTGGGATAATCTTTCTAGATAATCAACGAGGTTAATTACATAGAGCCTGCTTAGGCTGGTTGTTGTAAGCATTGTACAATAAGAGGTTATTGTTGTGTAAGGCTTACTTTATAGGGATAAACCTAGAGCAGCGGGGAACGTTGTTCTGCGAGGTTTATTGGCCACTCATTGAACCTTAAGCTTGTGTATTTGGACCGAATAAAGAGTTGTTTCTTGTTCTCTAAGACACATGTGTAGTGAGGTTTATTGAGGTTCCCTGGTCACCTCTAGGTGCTTGCCACGTGAATTGGTATTCCTTTAGCGTTGGTATATTTCCAACAAACGGACAGGCCTAGGACTTGAATCCTCCGTTCGTGACGTAGTCCCCCCTTATTTGCGTGTAACCGCTCATGCGCATGTAAGGTCATTAAATATTTTTGTGGGATAGTCAGCTCTTGTTGGTGTGGGTGTAATTCCTTATCCATAGACAAGCGAGCGCGCCACACTATTAGGCCCTTGTTTTATCACTATTGAACGTCACAGCGGCCCGAGAACATGGCAATATAAATCAACACTTTGGATAGTATTATCGTTGTTATATTTTACTTTTTTGGCCCTTTTGAGGTTTGCGAAAGGATGACGTGGCTTTATGTGCTTTTGCGATAACGGACACGTCGAGCGATTCCGCTAATATAGTGCGCCCTCATGTGTTCTTTTTGTTTGTCATAAACTATAAGAAACAAGACCAGGTAAGACAAGCAAAGATGATACAAGAACCATTATCGTTATATTCATTTGATTCAGAATGGCTTTTCACTGGAAATCTAGTCATGCATCTGGCCACACGATTAGCTGGATTGATCCCATTCGTTGACATAGCGAGGTAATCCTATACGACAGCACTGCTTGGCTAACAAGAAAACGACAGTTAGACATACAGTGAGACAGCTGCAAAGAGTACATTGGGCCCTTTGGGCTCAGCGGAAACTCGCAACAGACAGAATACTAACCACTAGCACTGCATGTCAATCCAAGGAGCGTCGAATGGGTACAGTCATTCCCGGACCAACGCCCAAGATTGCACTGGTCCAATGTAGCCTCGTCTCCTGTACACGATACATCACCCAGAAACACTGGTCCAGATCTCAACCAAGGCGTAGTATAAAACTAGTGAAGCAAAATTGAACATTATCGATCAGGTTCAACATCGTCGAAAATCAAAATTTTTATCTGTGACATTCACACTTCAGCAGACACACCTTCAGTAAACTATGATGCAATGTGCAGAAATATTGGTCTCACACCCTATCATATTGGTAAGATATGGTGGTCAAATTCTCTTATTAAATATTCATGACGACAGAATATTAGAACAATAGGCTGCACGTTAACGTTAACTGGAGGTAAGAGTCACATGCCCTTGACTTCAGGAGGCATATTTTCTCCATTTTCTTTAACGCTGGCGACGTTTTCGTTTGAATAGATCTCCTTATTTCCAATTTGAACCAATTTGCCGTCAACACAAAATCACCACAATGAAGCAAAAGCGAACCTGCGCATACAAAAAGTTAGATACAGGGTGACCCCCCCCCCAAAAAAATGCAACCCTTAAACATTTGCCTTTTTTTCAAAAACTTGATCTGCGATTTTTTATCTTTTGGATATCAGATTAAAGTTGAGAGTTTTTTCTTTCAAAATCAATATTGAAAGAAAAATCATGAAAACAGCACATTGGGTTGCTGAGAAATACCTATTATGTAATAGAAGTGATTGCCTTTTTTTTTCAAAAACCTGATCTGCGATTTTTTATCTTTTGGATATCAGATTAAAGTTGACAGTTTTTTCTTTCAAAATCAATATTGAAAGAAAAATCATGAAAACAGCACATTGGGTTGCTGAGAAATACCTATTATGTAATAGAAGTGATTGCCTTTTTTTTTTCAAAAACTTGATCTGCGATTTTTTATCTTTTGGATATCAGATTAAAGTTGAGAAGTTTTTTCTTTCAAAATCAATTTGAAAAAAAAATCATGAAAACAGCACATTGGGTTACCGCGTTGCTGAGAAAATACCTATTATGTAATAGAAGTGATTGTTTATCCTCTCCAATGGTGCTTCAAGCCCACTGCGCTATACTGTATTTCATTTTGTACAATTTTTTAAATATTTTTACATATTTATGATGCCAAAAAGGTTTAATTATTGGACTAAAAAAAGGATAAGATACCTTTTCAAGTGTAAAATAAAAGATATTTCCATCAAATTCAGTTGTACCCTTGTTATTTTAAGTGCCGTGTTGTTTGTTAGGATTAGCACACAATGCGCCACATGCATTTCAAGCACAGATAGGTAAAGTGTAAATCCCTTAAATGTGGTAGTGCCATTGGAATGGACCGAAAAGGAGTTGCGTCACATAATTGGCATTTTCGCGGCAACCCAATGAGCTGTTTTCATGATTTCTTTTGCAGTTTTTAAAATAAAAATACAAAACTCGCAGCTTTACTCTCATATTCAAATTCACAGATCACGATTTTGAAAAAAAGGCAAATGTTTCAGATGTTGCTTTTTTGGGGGGAGGGGGGGGGGGTTCACCCTGTATACCTCTTTCGTAATAAGATGAAGTCAGAGGGCAAATTGTATTGCTGGGATAGGGATGAGTAAAGCCCTTGTGAACTCATTGCTGGTGAATTAAGATAAGAAAGTACGCCCTCTGGAAACCTGCTACGTATATTAAGCTGTGATAGAGTTTGGCAATTACATCAACGACAGATTATTTCGATCATGCCACCCAAGATTGAGATTCAGACACAACTCTTATGAATTAATCTTACTATTCACATAAATGATTATGCATACCGATTTCGGGGCTCCAAGTCCCAGTTCTCTGCACACGACTTTGGAGTTGGCATCTGTCCAGCCGTTTGCACAAACGGCACCCCAACGCCCATCGTGATAAATTTCAAGCAAGCCATCCTTTTGACGTCTCTGAAAACTGACTGGACTTCGGTCCTCTGAACGTAAGAGTGCATAAGTATAAAATAGAGATTAATTGCTTCCTAAGACGCACAGAGGTGGGGGTCAACATTCATGCAGATATAAGCAAGTATTCTAGATTCATAATTGTCCATGTAATTTCAATACTTCCCAGTTGAGAACTTTGTAAAAGAAAAAATTGGAAACTGAACAGGGATAAGTTTTGGAACATCAAAACAGTCTCGAAACGACTTTAATATTTTGTGCAAATATCAACACTTTTATAGTTTTCTGTATAGTTTCTGGAGGAGAAAATGATAAATCAACAAAAGATTAATCTTAAAAGAGAATGTTCTTCCACTCATCTCAAAAAATAATTACTGAAATTGATCCATGCTATCAGAAGTTATGCACACGTTTTACTAAAAGAACCGATTTTTATAGCTGTCCATGGAATGCCATTGGAAGCTGTTGAGCTGAGTGAGGCTTACAGATTACACACAATCAATTTAAAAAAATTCAAATTTTAATCATTTTTGTCAAGACACAAACATTATTTTTACTGTCAGATTTTGGGTTTTGAATATAAAGAACAAGTCATCTATTTTTGTGAAATATGAATAGCGATTTTGGCATGTTTTCGATTGCAAGTTCTCGTCCATGCATCGAGATGGGAAAACGTCCACGTTTCATTGTTATAATGGGTATTCATCAGTTCGTAGAACGGTAAATGGTCAGTGGTGGACAGCCAAATTTTGTGATCTTCATATCAAAATAGGCGTAATTTAGTAATAGAGTATGCAAATTACGTGCAATGTTCACAGTAACTAGTCAAAAAGATGTTATTTATGCTTGTGGGTTTTTTTATGAAATGGATCGAGCCTCTTTGTTTTCTCTAATTTAGTGACTTTCTTTTTGACTTACCCCGTACTGACGACGTCACACTTTTCTATGGGGCTACGAAACCGATATCCCCACCAAGCTCGCATAAGCACACGTGAAAAAAAGTGTGACGTCGTTAGTACACAGGCCTATTGCTATTTTTTTTTCTTGGACATTAATATTTTTAACTTTAAAGTTTTTCCGGCCAGAAAGCAACTGTTGTCGATTTGACCGTCATTGATGCAAGATTTGCACGTTATGTACACGCTTACCTGGAATCGGACCGCTACAAATGACGCTAGCCTCGCTACTCCCCTCAAGATTCAAACATTCTTGATCCGGTTCATCTGGCATGTAGCACTGAGCAAACGAGGATTCTGAGCCTGAACAAACGACGTAAGTAGGGAAGACCACCGGGCCAGACCCACGACCGAAGCGGTCGTCTTGTGGTGCTTCCAGGCCGTACCCTAACCCAAGCTGACGGCAGATCACATCACTTTGCTCGTCGAAGGATGTGTAGTCTTTTTTCAAGCAGAGACTTCCCCATGTTCCATTGACGTGGAACTCAACTCTCCCCTCGTTGGCGTTAGAGCCGCCCAAAAGTCTCAACTGAAAGTCTTCAGGCTCTTGAGATAAAAACAAAGAAATAATAAACAATCGTTTTGTTATTCACTCCACAATTTCAATTTTCAGTGTTATCCCTTCAGATCGTTGACGGTTTAGTGGACTAAGTGCAGCTAAACAATAGCCTTCCCTTAAAATAGTTTCATCTACAGAACTAACTTATTGAAGGGTACATCGTCCTTAAATCATCGAAACTTTTATGTTTTAGATTGTTTACTTATTTCAAAGATCTGGTGGTAGAAAACCTAAACTAATATCTCACTGTACCTGAGAAAAGATTTGCAAAAACATGTTGTTTTCTTCTGACACGGCGGACATTTTGTGGCAAACACATAGTTACGTATATTTCCAACCGGAAGTTCTTGGACGAGGAGTTTGCCCCACTGTATTTCTGTGTCCATGATTGTCGTATGATTCAATGTAGGCCTACGGTACACACCGTGTGGCGGGTACATCTACATGTTTTAAACGTTTTAAGCGTTTTCAAAGTAAAATGTACGACTAGCTAATGTTTAGGATTGATCACCACATGCAAGTGCAGCAGACGACTGTTTCAAGTCATGTTTATACAAGGCGCTTCGGATAAAGTGGACTATTTTTCGCCAAAGTCCGCAATATGTCCACAAACGAGATACGATTATTTGCTCAAAGGGATGTATAAAATGTCGCGTTTGATCACACACAGATGGAAAACGGTTGGACAGTGCATGCGTGGACCGTTTCGAAAGTAAAGCGAAAATCTTTATTGAGAGATTACTGATTGAGCGCCAGAAAATGATGAGTTGGATTTGGTCCCTTTAGAAAATTCAGGAAGTACTAGCCTAAGGCTGCGATGCTTACTAACACATTTTGTTAGTACATGAAAATATGAAACAAAACATCTCAAAACACTTTGATCACAAAGGTTGATAAGAAACAGATGTAGTACTGTACATGCGCTTTCCATGTACGTCTCATTTTTTCTACTAAGAACGGTACAGTAACTTTAAACAGCTAAATTGAGAAGATCCTGATCGAGACATGAACATTGATTGAGACATCTGCTTGTACAGTCAAGAGTGAACTGCATTACTTTAAAAAAGCATACTTGAGTCCCGACAAGAATGATTCTTCGGATGGAACAGACCTCGAGTTGTTATTTCTTTAAAATAAAATTCAATGTTATGGTCCATCCCCCCCCCCCCCCAGGCTAAGGCTTTGATCTGGGGGCGCGTCTGTTATTTGTCAAATTGCCTATATTTCTTTTCTCTAAAGCCCAGAATTCAGCTACAATTTCACTGCAAGATTTTGATCAATTTATATATAATATTTGGGCAATTAATATGTTATATATAGATTATGCCTATGACGTCGTTTCATCACAAAATTTATCTTTAAATGGATATCTTTGTGTACATGTATATCATGCCCCGGCCTTGTTTCAAGTAGACCTGTCTATGCAGAAACTTTCCCTGAAACAAAATGGTTTATTGAGCACAAAGTGATTTATTTTAACCAATAAATCATTTGGGTAGTAAAAAAATCTCAAATTTCTTTTTTTTTTTCCAAGAAAATATTTTACATTTTATAAAGTACATTCAGGGAACCCGATTAAAAATGGCTCCCTCGAGTACATGGGTGATTAATATGGCTTGAATTAGAAGCAAACATAATATCTAAGTACATATATAACCACGTTCACCTCAATGTCACACGCATGCTAGTCTGAGTAAATCAATGAAGTCATCTGAGCTGTAGGCATCCGACATTAAACACTTGTTTCCCTTATTTATAACAATCAGAATCCATTTGTGGTTACAGTTCTCTGAGACCTGTTTTAGCTTTGAGACTTACCTTTAATTCGATTGCAGAGAACCCCTGCTTGGTGATTAGCAGTACAGTTATCCTGGAACCAAAAGTTGGCCGGACACTCGATGAGTTTGCTCTCGTTACCGATGCACGCAAAGTCGGTGGCTAAATATGAGATTTCTTGTAAGCGTAATGGACGACGATTCCCAAAGTAGGAGTCGGTAACGGCTCGTTTTGCCGAGTAGTGTCCATCCTGGCGGCAGATGACGTTAGCATCTGCCAGATCCCACCCCTGATCGCAGACTAGGTAAAGCCTCGTACCTATGATGAGATCTTTGCTATACCAAACGTAACTTGTCCTTCATTTTTAACACCTATCGGGCCATTGCCATCGCCAAGGCCCACATAAAACTGCTGCCCTGTATTTAAAAATCGGACGGAAGTAGAAAGAAAGAATGTTAAAGATTTAACCTTTTAAATGAATCTTACAATTGTCCGACATGAAACTTTGGAATGACCACAATAATTGATTCTTTCCAACTAATATTTTCCCTTCAAACAGCTATGATTGTGGATGGCGTTGAGTAAACTATAATTCCGAACCTTTAAATTCCTCCTGGTCCATACATGCAACAGCCGCAGCCCGTCTTGTCTCGGCACATTGATGATCTGTCCAACCGTCATTCGCGCATTCATCTAGTCTGGTTTCTGACCCCTTGCACTGAACGTTACTAAGCCAGACTAGTTCCGTCAAATTGCCGCCATCGTAGTTCCAATCGTCACGGTTGAGCCATGGAAAGCCCAGTTGCTTACAGACTACAAGAGCATCGTTGAAATCCCAACCATCAAGGCAAATTGAGCCCCATCGACCATCGTGTAACACCTCAACTCTACCGTTTTGGCTAGAACCGCCAGACAAGCGCACGTCTCCGTCTATATATGGGAAAAGAAGGGAAGTTAATGAGACAACATCGCACACACCAATTATGAAAACATACAGTGTGTTTTCAAAAACTTATATGGAAACACAGTTTAACACACCAAGTACATTTGTCCATTGTCTTGGCAAGGTTAACATGAACAAATGAAAGTTATAAAGAACATTTGTATTCTTTTTCGTATTTATTCCAATATAATCACATATTTGATTCGGCTTGAACCACAGAATCACTCAATACTTGACAATACCCAGACCCTGCAGTGGCATGATGAATACAAACCTAAAGCCGTAGCTGTACCAAGAATGAACACACAAAAAACAGTAACGCCAAGCATCGTGACACAGTTGTCTGTTGAACTGCACCTTCGCATACTGGCAAATGACAGATTTATATGCATTCCTGTATTATTGTACTTTGGTCACAGCATTTGATCCGGTTTTACTATCTTATTTTACTCATTCAGCAGTGCAATGGAAAATTTACGTTTCCACAGGGAGTGGTTACATTCACAGCACGGAGTCCAAAGTGCCTGCAGGTCGTTGACTGTGACATATTACAGTCCACGTTTAACGGCGACAATTTCACTTCGTGCCGGAAGCTTTGTGTAAAATTAAGACCAAATTCAGCTGTAAGAAATGTTTTTATTAATAACATCTTGAAAAAAAAACAATCCCCAGATTGTCCTTAAGGTACATTAACCCGAAACATTTAAAAAATCCTTTGAACGTTTACGATATAGACGATCAAGGTTGTTCCCCGGAATTTTAAATGGCTCCAAAATTTCCATTTAGATGCGTGGCTATCCATCCCTTCTCACCTACCTCCGTTCCCCCTCCCCTACCAGGTTAATACGAATCCGTATTTCGGATCACTCTGACCTATATATAGACGACTTGGAGTGCACATATAGCAATTAAGAAGGGGAAACTAGTGATTAATAAACGTATCTAGGCGTTAGTTTTCTTGGCATCAAGAAACTGTTAAGTTTGTGGAAATTCATAAACGGTGTGCAGGTTGAGTTCCCAGGCATAAAACCTGATTTCCATGGATCCAATCAATCAGGTCGAACAAATCAGGTGACTCAGAACTGGCAATAAATACTAGCGTCATCAAGATTACCATCTTTATAAACGGTGTACCTTTGATCGAGTACTGTACAGACGGGTTCAGAAATAACCGGTTTATATGACTCATTCAGCATTGAACAAGAAAAAGTACGTCATTCTGTTACCATTATACTCATGATACTGATTAGGGATACTCGAGTCCAGTAACAAACGTCACCGTTTTACGAGGAGGCGAAGTTAATCTGTCACCGTCGGAACAAACATTCGAGAAAATCGCGTTTAAAGTTGGTCCTTTTTCTTTGAACAATTTGAAACGTGGAAATGCATAGAATATGAAAGATCTAGGTATCAGAGAAAAGAGGAGATTATAATCTCCCTCAATGTATCAAACTTGAAGAAAAATAGGCGAATAGTTTTTGCAAACTGAATCAATTAGAGAAGCGGCTGTTTGTGAAAACGAAAATAACAACCAATCAGCAAATTCGCCCCTGTGGCTGTGAATTTCGCCCCTTCGTGAAAATGCTAGAGACAGGACGCGCAGATTTCATTACAGCCGGTATTTCATAGACTCGTCCTGCATCTTATAACGTTTCAGTTTTTTGTCTCTGCAAAGTGTGACCCGTTTTTAAGGAAATTCGCCTCTTCGTGAAAACGCAAAACGACACTTAAGGAAAATGCGCCTATTCGTTAATAAGGTTAATTGGGATTTTAATTAATTTTATGAAAGTATAACCTCACCAGAATGTAGATATATATTTAATCATTTCCACCGAAAAATCGATAAACAGATCGGATTTTCACGAAATTCGCCCCTTCGTGAAAACGGTGATGTAATTAAGAGATTAACAAGCATTTTTCATGTCTACATCAACACGATAATGATTAATTTAACAGGTGCTTACACACATATTTTCATGAATATCTACACTGCGTGCTGAATAACTGTTGCACCATCACATCATCAACCATTAACATTGCTAATGAGAACTAGTAACACAGTCTAAGTATAGTGCATGCCGTGTCTTAATGCGGACACAGTGGTTTATACACGTAATCGAATGATTTCGACGTCTAAACCCATTAATTCGTCACCGACACCACAAACTGACACCCTCTGCATGACATGTGTACAAAAAAAATTAAAAATCCAAATTTTCTTTTTTTGCATAATTACTAGCAGTTTGTATCATGAAGTTTAACATGACGAGGTTAAAATTGCTGAAATCGTCTAAAATAAGCGAATTTTACTAATGAATTTTCAAGAAATTGGTCCATTCTGGTATTTTTGGTTACCACGAAGTGACCCTGCACAGGGTGTCAGTTCGTGAAAACCAAAATGTACGTGTTTTCGGAGAGTGCGCGCATGCAATAGCGTTAGTTAGTGTCAGTTCGTGAAAACCAAAATTGACGCGTTTTGGGAGAGTGCGCGCACGCATGCGCAGTGTGTGCGCGCACTCTCCTAAAACGGGTCAATTTGGGTTTTCACGAACTGACACTCACTAACGCTATTGCATGCGTGCACTCTCCGAAAACACGTAAATTTTGGTTTTCACGAACTGACACCCATCTTAATCATTTAATTGCTAATTAACTAAGCAGATTTTTACAATAGAACGTTTTTAATTGAGTAGCGAAAGTATTTTTACGTTGAGTGATACTAAAACCTCTAAGATAAATGGAATATTTTACTGAGTAAATTCGTGTCAAACCTTTAAATGCGTTTTTCTCCGATTTGTATTTCTGCAACGCTGACCACCGGGTGTCAGTTCGTGGTGTCGGTTACGAATTATGTTACAAAAACATAGCAGTGACGTTCATGTTTTGCATATCTTTTTTTTATTTCAATCTACAGACTCTGACAAAAAATAAAGATCGATATTACGCCAATAGGTATTGATCATATTGGGTATAGTGTACGATAATCACTACAACATACCCAATTATTGGATCAGCATCGAAGAATACGTTATCATTGTCCTGGTCTTTCAAGTTCAAACCTCGTATTTATCTGTGTGTGTTGAGGTACGTATTCCGAGCACAGTTAAAAATGGATCACATGAACACTTAAATGTACCCCTGAAATATCGTGGTATGTAGTTCCATTTCAAATAAAATTATTCCTCGGACTAATTACTAAGTCGGACACCATATTGGCACTCAAACATAAGGGGTATAGGACTATCGGTCGTCGGACACAATGGGTAAAACAATGGGCCGTCGGACACAATGGGTCGGACTTAATCGTCCCAGTCTTGGTCACAATCATAATTAAACTAACGGACATAATAGTCACGAATACATAATCGAAATTATAATAGAGACCTTCAGATACTGTCAGTGTACAACCTTTTTGGTGGTGGTGGGGGGAATTAAATACCCCCACTGGTTAAAAACCAGTGGCGGACTCTCCCCCCCCCCCCCCCCACACACACACACACCCTCAGCGTTTAGCCGCTGACTTATGTTATGATACTAGTAAAATGGGCCAAAAAATCCCAATTGGAATTTTCAAATTGCATTAGAATGCAGGAGAAAGCCTCGTAAATTTGAAATTTTCCGGGGTATGCCTCTGGAGACCGGACCCCATAACAGCAGGGGATATTGTCGCCACGCCTTCACTCACACCCCCTCTCCCTTCAAATCCCGCCCCCCCCCCCCCGTTTCCTGAAAGCTAGATCCGCCCCATTTAATTTCTTTTCCTTATTAAGCAAGGCAAACGATTTAGCGCGAAGACCGTTAGTGCTGTGAGGAATCTGATCAAGCAGAAAGAGATTTCAGGCAGCCAAAATATCCAACAAAATTATGAAACATTTGTGACTTCTTAAAGCCAAAAAATCAGGCAACACAAATTGAATAATTAACAATTCCCCAATTTTATGGCTCTCAGAAGTTTTTATTTTTCCCCAAACCACTTTTACGGCAAGTTGAAGGATCCGTTACATCATATTCCATCAAATTGTCTGAGGTCAAAATTAGGCCTAAAACAGTGCCGCTTTTTGTGCGCCTGCTAGCTAGAGCGCCCCCAACGACAGTGAATTGAGATTCGGCCACTTTAAAGCTCAACATTCCCCCCCTCGCCCCCCCCCCCTTTTCAACTCGCAATTGTTGTAATTGGCTGATGGCCTTCGGCTCCCTTACTCGTACGATTTGGGAGCATTTGTTGCGGAACAGCCCTTGTTGATACCTTTAAAATACTTTTGCCCCCTCCCCATAGGTTCCACCCGCTGAAAAAAAACACTGCCGCGTCATAGCACACGCGCAAAGAGGCCATGTTTGTCATTCTTATAGGGTGTAACAGTGTATTAAGATTCCCATAGACACTAGTGCTATATGCCCATACTTCTAAATTCTTTCAAAAAATACTCATAAGCTGCACAGAAAAATGACGATCAATATGTCATCGTTTATTTTATTTTCAAGTTTTGGTAGGTTGACCATTGACTTTTCGAGAAATTCTCACCCAAAGAAGACGACCCCTATTTTACCCATAGCGGAAAAGTAGCCATCTTGGAAAACGATCCCTCCACAACATGAGAAAATAGCGCCACTTTCGAGCTCAATTGCTTTTCTTTTCTTTTTCTCTTTTTTCTTCTTCTTTTTCATTTTTTTTATTTTTTGGCTTTTCCAGGGGGGGGGGGGAGAGTGCTCCCCTTGCCCCCTCCTCGCTACGCCCATGAGTATAGAATATTTTGAGGGTATAACTTTTATTAATGAGCTGGGCGGATGGGGTTTAGGCCTATTTACAGGTGTGCAGCCTTAGGCCACAAAAAAGTGTCCGGTTTCTGTTATGGAACATCCCCAAAAAGTGGTGCGGCGACGCGGCTTTATTTTTTTTACCTGTCTTTTTTACTTCAAATGTCGGCTGATGACTGCAAATGGTGCCCGACTAAACTTAGTGCAAATATATGGGAGTGCGGAGAGGCCACATAAAGCTTATTCTCGATCATAACCCCATCTAAAAACACGTTACAATTGTGCAGCAGCAGGATTCCAGTCAAACCAGTGAGTTTTGGCGGTTTTGAGACATCATCTTTTATTGAAAAAAAACTTTTTTCATTTTGCCGACGCGCATGGCTACGGCGACGCGCGCGCATACCAGAAACCGGAGACTTATTTTTTTGGTCTTAGACTTTAGAGCTCTCTTTGCCAAACCATGTTTGGCACTTGTCAGCCAACCACGAAGGCAAGATGGAGTCCGACTGAAACAGATTTCACGGCTCCCCACCAGCCTCTCTCTCTTTTCAACCGATGAGGGGGTACCTCTGCACGAAGCGGATTAAGAGACTTCAGGTTG